TCATGATGTTTTCGCTATACAAATGCGGAATGCATTAGATGTGGCACGTTCAATTCATTCTCTTTGTTCGATGAGAGTGGAAATGGAGACGAGGTAGTGAGGTGAAGGGCGTAATTTGGTGTGTGTGTGTGAGAGAGAGAAAGCAGGAGAGGGAGGGAGAAAGAGACACAAAATGAGAGACCATTTTTTCCAGTGATATGTTTACTTCGCAAGAAGTCGCTGTTGGCTTAACATTGAAAGTTTTTTAAGGAGATATATTCCGAAATTGGAAAAACAGAAAATTTACATTCAACAAGAGAGCGAATCGCATTGCACTGCATTGAATCCCAACATTAGCATCCTTATTTATGGAAGGAATTGCTGATTTTAGTTTTTGTTTCTTTTATCTATTCTTCGTCTTTCAGTATTGCTTCTCTCACTATTAACTTTCATTGTTGCATTTTCCATTCTCGACAATATATCTATATGTATGTACTATGACTGTGGAATTGTCTGTCTGTATGTGTGTGTGTGTGCACACTATACACATTTTTCAGTGGTTTTTTTCATTCTTCTTTTCTACCGCATTACATGTGAAAGCCTCAGACTCTGTGTGTATCTCTCGTGACAAAAGAAATGGGAAGTTTTCACTATTTATTTACATGAACATGGCCTGAGCATGAATTACCGTAAATCAGTGCTGATATATGGTGGAAATATGGCATGAAACACACTGGCTCACGTTCTTTGTTTTCATTCATTTGCATTTCCTGCAAACATTTTCAATTTTACTCCATAAAAAAACTAAAACTAAGTCGCTTTTCCTTTCTCTGTGCCTCATTCTATTCCATTTCTATTTTTCTCTCAATAGCTCTGTCTCAGCATTCGTTTCTATGTGGCATTGTTTTGTATTATATGTTCATGGTGCCCAAAAAATATGCAGAATATGCGTGCAAAATTATCTATTTGGTGTTATTCATAAGGAAATCGGAGTTCAACTATAAAAAAGATACACCATAGCATTTCATTTACGTTTTTGCGTCGATGTGAGAAAATAAAATTAAAGAAAATGACCGAGCAGATGATAAAAATCAGGTAGCAAAGTATCAGACCAGATCCTATTTATAAATTTTTTAGCATATATGGCTTTGGTTTAGTAAAATGTTTTGCGATTGCTGCCTTGGCCCCAAACGAACAGTGAACAGATACCAAAACAATTGACTTGAATACTCCAACAGCCAGTGACCACAGCGCATATACTGGATTTTGAACGTTTTCCAACGTGCCCCTTTTTTCAAACAAGTTCCACACACTGGAATATGAACGTTTCACAAGGGAAACTCATAAATAAACAACAAAAGCAACCCCTTTCTTCATCAAAATTCCACCCTAACTGTTTGTTTATCTTAAAACTTTTATCGCGGTAATTTTTCTTCTCGGATGAAATGCATGGCATTTTTTTTTTCACAAAATCTCAAAATACCATATGTAGTAAGTGAAATTCATCATTTTAAGTCAAGTTATTATTCAAACTGTAAAATCCCATAGAATTCGATGTAAATTTAGAAAACATTTCCCTTTGTCGCATGCATAGTTTGTTGCTGTGAGATGTTCAACAACTGAGAGACAATTATAAGCCACAAGAACATTTAAACTAAATCATTCTTCCGTTTGACTTGTAAATGCTCATGTTCAATTGTACCATATCAATCGAACAAATTGAATTGTGTCAAAACAAAACAAGGAAGCATTCATTCCCACTCGAGATACAATGGACCAAAACAAATATCGTAAATGATATTACACACATATACTCCGGATGGAAATGATGAGCATTTGCTAAAATTCCCAATTATTTTTAGGTATTTTCACTTGTCCTCGTAATTTTGAATTTTGTCGCATTTCGTAGTTTATTGTACTATATGCCTTTCACCCACCCCAATGGATCGCACTTAAAAGTTATGCCACTTCCTAATTATACATCAAAATAGACATTTCCATTAGCGTTTCACGCAGCGAAATAGAGAGAATTCGATGTATCAGAGAGTTGTTGTTTTTCGCTACATATACATGGGAATATAGCGGATGCGAGCACGTTCAATTTTACATCTTTTCGGCTGATTTCTAATGCGCATTTTATAGCTGGTAATTCGTCTATGTTTTACGATGGAAGTTAATGGGCCATCTCGAAAATTTTGCATTTCAGCATACTATGTTTCTCTTTCGCCCTTTGTCAATTCACTTTGCAAGCGGTTTTCAAAAGCATTTACAAAGATATTTACGAAAGATAACCGCAACATTATATGACATTCAATCGATTTATGAAAACAGTTTGTAAAATTGACTTGAGCTTAAAACTTGCTTAAAAAGCGCTTTGACATACACTTTTTGATAAACTGAATCCAAACAATATATGCACATACATACACGTTGTTAGCTGTATCGCTTTTGAGGTGATTTGTATTTATGCGTTGTGTTGATTACTTTCAACTTTTTAACACGATATTATACACTTCACCGTCGTCCGTTATGAATTCACATTTTCATTCACTCACTTATTCATTTTCGTCTCTTTCTCTCTCCTTCTCTTTTTTTCCTTTTTCGCTCTTTTATGCGCATAGGACAATAATTGGGAAACGAGGACAAATTAGCATAAAATAGGCATTTTACTTAAAGTGTGGATACTTTTGTATGTAATGAAGATGATGAGCTTCTAACATGTAAATCGACTTAATTTATTTTATAGTTTGTCGGAAGCCAGTTCGAAACGAAAATCCTTTTTTCCCTTTGCAGAAAAAAAAAACAGTAGAAGAAATGGTGGAAATCGCTCGCGAACAAACGCGGCATTCTACCAAAATACCCAAAACAATGCCTCGGTGCGCTTATAGTCGGGTGCGACGACTTTAATGGATTCCAAATCCTTCCACTTAGCTGCAATAGTACGCGCCAGCCAAGATTCGATGTGTGTATGGAATACAAATTCGACATTCGCATGATGATATGATATGGTGTGCAAGCGCTTATCTACTACTTTCTCATCAAAAGATCGGGGGTGAGAAAGTGAGCGAGAGAGAGAGAGAGAGAGAAAGACAGCATGAGCGCGAATCTCATTATCTGGTCATTTGGCAGCAAAAGTTTTGAATAACTCAATTATTACAGTTTCGTTTAAATATTTAAATTGGCTGCAATTTGCCCGAGTCCTTGAATTTCTCTTGCTCTCTTATCATTCAAACTGTATCATTTTAGACTATTTGTGGCCAAAGTGTATCCAAACAACACAAGTAAATCGAAATTAAAGCCAAACTCTCGCGTAAGTTTATTTGAAAACAATTTTTTTTGTTCATTCCACTTCTATGTAAAGTGTTTCAACTCTCGAGCATTTACAACAGTTGCGTGTACGTTTTGGTTTTGTTATCAAATACAATTTATCACTTCCATCCGTATACATTGTCAAATGTGAAGAGCGCCGCACACACTTACATACTTGCCAAACAGACTTCGATTCCATTAAAAATTTTGCACATATGCTTGAATCCAATGCTCTATCTCTCACCCCATCCTCTTTGCTTTTGTATTTCATCAAACTCAATCATGCCATTTCGTACATAATAAAAGCAATCGAACGCAAGAGGTTTTATATTCCATCTTTTTTCACATATTATGATGAGTGTGTGCTATTGGCGTTGAACTGATTCAATGAGAATCAAAATGACTTACAGCCAAACAAAAACGGTTCACATTTTGATATCGAATATACACCATGGCCGTGTGTCTGTGTATACATATTGGATTTATGTGTGACACATCGCACAGATAATGCGAATTATTATGATTTACATTTTCAAAAGGTTCATAAGGCCTTTTTAAGCGACAATTCATGTAATCGCGGTCATATTTTTCATATGTTAATCCATTGATGCATTTATTCACTGGTGGGTATTTTGATTAAATAGTATCAAAAAAATGGTGAGAGGAAAAAGATGATAATAAAATGAGATATAAGAAAAGCTTTTTTCACATACTTCTGCATGCGAGAGGTGAACACGAGCACACATAAATACCGATTTTCGCTTCAAGCAATTCATTTTTCTCATGATTTAAAACACCCACCATTCGTTCACCGATTCAATTATCGAATTTATTTGCTGTCGGTGTGTTCACAATTTATTCAGGAATACACAATTTACGGAATAAATTTAATATCTATATATATATATATAATGAATGTACTTTAGAGTAGTGTTTTGCTGTTAAATCGATACAAACACTGAATGTGAGAGTGAGTCAATGTGCAGTGTACGCTGTACGCGTTGAATTCATCAGAAAAGGGTGAAATATTGTGTGGAAAAGCATTTTGGGATTAATGTATGCTACGTCATTTTCGACATAATTTCATTGGGCAACCACGGTTGATTCGATATCAAAATGTGAACGGTTTTTGGTTGCTGTAAAAAGCTTCGGGAGATACATTTTAAGAGATGGTATAATGCAATTATTATTTCATCAATAAAGCGTATTTTCCAAAAGTACACTACACCGGTGCGATGCTTATAATTCAAAAGCGATTGGGAGCGAAAATAACATACAATAACCGTGATAATAAAACAGTTCTTTTTTTGTATGTACTTAAGCTCTTTACGGTTTCCCTGTTTAAATTCAATGCAGAATCAAGACTGAATTAATTTTAAGCACTCAAAATTTTGCATTTAAATTGTGTTGCGAGAACAAAGAACGAGCATATTAGTGGTTGAAATACAAACAATACTTCGAACATTTGCCATATGCAGCAACAAAATTCGGTTAAATGAAGATTTATCAAACTTAGTTTCAACAACACTCGAATAAACAATTGAAAAGTAGTTTAAAAATAAATGAAGTGAAAATCTTTGATGTTTCTCTCTCTCTCTCCGTCACATTCGTTTTATTTAAATCCAGCGCATGAGCCACTTATTACCATTGGTCGCACATAGATGTCACTGTTGACTGAACGTCAAAACGCACATTGAATTGATAGACTTTTTGTGTTTGACATTTCTGCCAAGAAAGTAGAAAAAAAAATCCACACAGAAAAAGGTTATTTTCCAAAGTTTCGATTTTCTCAAAAACAAATATAAAAATGTTACGCGCCACAGTGAGAACATTAAATTTGAGCAATCGAATTTGCAATCAAAATAATTTCAACATCAGTCACAGTGAATTAAATATTCAAAGTATAAGACGATGGCGTTACCGTAGACCGCTTGAATTGGGAACATCAAAATCGAAATTATTTCGCATACCAGAACATCCAGAACCGAATATCGATGAATTGAAAGAGTTGAAGCGTTTGAATGATGAGTATCGGTAGGTCTTTTAATTCGATGCCAACATACATTTTGAATTGATGACTATTTTCAAAACATTTTGTTTTTAGCACAAAAGTAAAATCAATTAGAACATATTTCCGTGAAGAGAAACACAAGCGCGATGAAGCAATGTTACTAAAACCACAGTCCATAAAAGATGATGCTGATTTTGAGCGAATCTCTAAAATAAACGACGAATGGAATCAGGGGATTGCTAAAATGCGAGAGGCCAGATTGAACGCCGAACGCATCGCAATGCAACAGGAAATCAAATGGCAACTCGAAAAGCAACGAGAGTATGAAGAAGAACAACGGCGTATAATCGACGAATTGGTGCTTAAAGAAAAGGTATGAAAATTGTTTATTTTCTGAATAAATGCTCACATTCATTAACAATCACAATGTTTAAAATTACAGGAAGCCGCCAAATCGTTCATTGTTCGTGAAAATTTCGATGAAGCGCTTGATTTGGCACTTAAGAATATAAGTGATTTTAACTATGCCATTGATTTTGAAGGTAATATGTACAAAGGCAGACAAGGTGAAGCGAAAAAATCATTTGAAATCGAATCCGAATTAGAATGAAAATGAAATTTACATCTTTAGTCAATCAACTTCTCTGTTTTCAAGCGTCGTCATAAGTAATCAAATAAAATTCTATACAACATTTTAAAAAGTAAAGTTTTTTTTTCTGCGCTTGTATTCAAAATTGATAATTCGTTTAGGTTAACAAATATGAAAAAAAAAACGTTCATCTATCGTTTTTAATCTTGCTTATTTATATAAATAATTTTTGTTGCGAAAATATCTCACATGGTCGCAGATCGAAGGTGGTAGAGAATAAGAAGAAAAAAAATTATATATATATATAAAAAAATAAACATCAAAACGTAATGACATCTTTCCGAATGAATGCTATGATTTCTTATCGGTAATATTATTTAAAAGGAATTCCCAATCCGGTACGACACTTAGTTTTGCATTAATTTGTCCCAAATTTATCATTTGACCCGTTCGATCTGTATCTATTTTTGTTGATATAACTTCTTGCATTAAATTTGGATCGATGCCCAAATCAATGTCGAATTTTGTATTGCCTAATAAAAGTTTTGTTTTCCCTGAACGATATCGCACCAGGCGACCAATTTGGCCTTCCTCTAAATTTCGCATTGTACACAAACTATCATGCGGTTGACTTGTTTCTTGTGATTCCGCACTATCGGCTGGCTCTGGTTCTGGCCCATAACCCGGCAGCGCATCCGGTAACTGAAACAAAAATATAAAAATGAAATGGTCTGAACGTAATCGAAAACAAAGAAATAAAATGCAATTTAAATATACCTGCATGAGAAACATTTGCGGTGTTGTTCTATCTAAAAATTCTCCCATATTACATGGATATTTCAGTCTATTATTCGATTTGTCATTATTTTCCTCTTTAATATCCATATTATTTATTCGTTCCTCCAACTTCACTTCGTTTTTCACTGTAATTGTAAAAAGTCATGCGGATTAGAAGTTATTTTTCATAGAAGTACTAAGAAAACAATTACATTGACTTAGAATGATTGGTGAAAATTGATCATGATTTGAAGCTCTAGTTGGATCGTCCGTTTCATCCATATCTAAATCGTAAATTTCGGAAATTTGTTTTTGTTCAACTAAAGGATCGACTTTTTCCCGTTTCTTTGATATCGTTGGTCGACGAAGAGTGGCACTAGTCGAATCGTCGCCACTACGAAAACTTCGGAATAATTGTTTAGTATCGCCAGCTCCTTCTGAGAATAGACCTGAAGATGCAATAACTGTGTTCCGAGGCGTCCTTGTCCCAGCGCCAGTATTCTTTCCACGCTCCGATCGTTCACCTCGTCCCCTGCCCCTACCTCTCGAGGTATCTTTCGATGTTTTTACATGTCTGGAAATTTCATAATGTAATTAGACGTTTCTCACGCACACGAACAAAATAATTGGCGATTACACTTACACATCTTTATGTCTAGTTGCATTTAAATTTGGAGTATACTGTTTTTTAATGTTTGGGATTAAATTTGGGCGAGCAACCGTAGTTTTCAATGGCACACCACCCAAATGTAAATCGCGTGGTATACGAAACGAAGGCAAACGTTCTGATGTATACAATTTACTGTCGGCTGGCAGTTTTAAACTAGTTTGATACGGCTTTTTATTCGACGCCATTCTCTTTATTATAATATCACTTTATTTACAAATAAACCGTTTCTTCTTCTTTTTTTTTCTTCTTCTCCCGATTTAAACCATGAGTACAACGTCAAATGAACTAAAACGAATTGAACTACAAGTCACAGTGCATGCTGTTGAACAGGGAAAAAAGACGACGATGAAATAAACGTGTGTGACATTTCGTGATGATGTTAGCAATCAAATTAAGGCTTCAAATACATAAGTGTCAAAATAAATGTTGAGTAATTATTGGCATGTGACGCCATCTTCACGTCAATTTTGAAAGCAACACTTCATGTCAGTTGCATTTTATTTAAACTGAAATCATTTGTTTTTTTTTTTTGGAAAATGTGAAAAGGAGATTTGCTAGATTTTTTATGTGCAAATGCAATGTATTTTTGGTTTAATTGGTTTTTTGGTTGAAGACTTTTCGAATGGGTGTGATGAAGAAGAAGTATGAATATTTAGATTGGTTCAACTGCGATGATTGTTTAAAATGTTGAATTTAAGAAGAAGAAAAAAAAATGAAAATTAATATATCAATATTTTATTTAATAAAAACGACAGTTCAACGATAGACTTATAACTCTTTTCATTTCGTTTGGAAAACTTTTAAATTGGTTTTCGTATTTCCACATTTTAGGAGTTGAGATATTTTTTTTTGTTAAAGTGAGAGCAGATTTTTTAAATCGCTTTAGAATAGGTTATTATAGGAAAATGGTCGTTATTCAAAACTACTTTAAAACGTATGCATTAGTGATAATGACAATAAAACAACGCCGACATCTGTACATTTTTCCAAAATCAGATGAAGCGCCCACCATAAATATTTACATACATCACGAAAAATTCAATGTACTGGCAATGTGAATGGCAGTTTCACTAACACGCGGATTCCATGATACATCGGACCGATTTCCTAGATGGATTGACGTAAATCTAATACGAAACTCATTCGTTATGCATCAGGATTTGAGAGCGATTTACCAAAGTTTCACATTTGTCACCGTATTTTATGCAGTATAAATATTCTCCAGTGTACAATTTTGCGTATTCATTCAGACGCTCTGTCGATTGACTGCAACGCAAAATAGGAAAAAGTTTAAGCCATTAAAAACACTTGGTGTCACTGGTTCCATTTTATTATTTCGTCTGTGTTTTTTATTTTCTGGTTTTTTTTTTTCTTTCGTTCTCACAGTATGTATGTTCGTGTTCGTCTTCGACTCTAGATTTATTTAATTTGAAAAGTTAATGAAATCACTTTTGTCGTCAGCAAAAGAAAGAGAGAAAGAGAATGAGCAAATTTTTCTGAATTTATTTCCATGTGATTTGTGGAGAAAAGCAAATTTTATGGAATTGGTTACATTGTACGTTTATTTAACAAACGAAGCACCATACACCATTTACGGAGAGCAAACATTGTATGCCCGTCGGGAATTTGAAATTGAACCGCTTTTCTACCTAGATGTTTTGTGTAATGTAACATTTTCATTAGAAAAATAAATCAAACCAATTTCGAATTGGTCGAGCAAAAAGTAAACACAAGCAAAAATCATTCAATTTACTTGCTTTGGGCTGGTTTGCGTTTTTGTCGATATCGCAAGAGCAGGAAGAAGAAGAAGATAAAATACACACACACACACGGTACAAGCGATAGGTACCGAAAGGCGTAACATTACAATCGAAAAATAAATACAGATTACATCCAGGGATATTTAGAATTGCAAATTACCCTGATGCATGGATAAGAGCATCCAATCTGATGTCTACATTATAGCGTTCGCTTCGACACATTATACATCCTCATCGGTGTAACCGTAAAAATTTGGGATTATGACGATGAAATGAAATTATCACAATCTAATTCAAAATCTTTCTAAATATTCCAATATGGTTTATTGGCTTTGCAAATGAAATGCCACCTGCAACAGAGCACACATACAATTTATGTACCTATGGGTGATGCTGTACGATACGTTGCCAGACAATATTCGAGTGATTTATGTGCTTTAACTACTGTATCGAAAAACATACGATATTCGGATTGCATTGGGGGAAAATGAACATGGAAAATGAACACGTTGCTATTGGATTGCATTTTGGCGTAACTATTGGCTGAAAGATGGCTCTTTCTTCTATTCTTCGTTCATTTTTATGCACGCACAGTTCATCGCCCCTTGCTGTTCATTTACACCAAGTAAAGAATTTAGGGGTAATTCACACAAAAACAACACGTTGAATGCGTTAATAATGAATATTTTTTTTTATTGAATTTTGAAAAGAGTAATGTAATTAATAAAAATATCAAGCAAATGCAAAAGTAAAGTAAAAAATAAACATTCTAAATGACGTAAAAGAAATGCAATCGTTCAATCAATTGAGGAATACAAATTCCTTACTGCGTTGCTTCTTGTTGTTCGAATTTTGGGTATTTACTAGAGATCGCATCCCAGGTGACTTTATCGAGCGATAAATTACGAACCACTTCGGCGATATCATCGAGTGGAATTCGTAGCTGTGACATTGAATCTCGTTCGCGTAGTGTTACCGTGTGTGGTTCTTTTTTAATTGTATCAAAATCGATTGTGATGCCGTATGGAATGCCAATTTCATCGGTACGTGCATAACGTTTACCAATTGATACGCTTGAATTGTCAACTTTGTGCGATACATCATTTCTTGTCAATGCCGATGATATTTTCTGGATAAATGGTGCGAGTTCAGCATTTACACTCAATGGCAAAACGGAGCATTTAATTGGTGCAACAAATGCTGGCAACGCAAAATATGAACGTTGCTCATCACCATCACGAATATTAAATCGATGTTCCAACAGCGAGTACATGATGCGACCAATACCAAACGATGGTTCAATAACACTTGGTGTAATTTCTTCGACGTGCATCGTTTTCTTTGTGGTTTTCACTTCAACCATGCTCTTGTTGAGCGTAACTTTTAAATCGCCATCCACTTCCAATTCATACGAACCATTTGCAGTAAGAGATTCTTGCAATGATTGTTGTTGATCGGCATCCAAAGCGGCTAATTTTTCGCAAATTCGTTTCGCATCTTTTTTGAATTCTTTTCCAATAATTGCTTTGTTGGGCACAGCCTCAGTTACATCAACCACTTTTGGTGCGTCCAATTTCTTTTCGGCAACTAATTTTACTCCGGTGGCTTTAGTGTGTTGAGTTAAATCGTATGCCGACCGATCAGCGCAACCAACACATTCAATCCATCCGTAACTGGTTAGACATTCAGCATCCCAGCAATCGCACGCATAATGTGCCATCTCATTTCCCATATGTTGTCTAAAGCGAATGCGATCGGGTAAAATACCGATTTTCAGCATGTATTGTTGAATACGTGCCATGAAATAGCCCAATGTTTCATTGGCAACCAAACCCTGAATATAAAAAAAAACAAATGAACCGAATTAGTAATACAAATAAATAGAATGAGCTATTCTATACTTACGCTCGCAACAGCATCTCCAATTTTAATTGAGTCTGCACTTTTGCCGTCCATTTGATTGCATGCTGAGTACAGTAGCATCGCAGTGTCTTTGACCGTTTCGAATTTTGGATGTGATTTTTCGTTTGGATCGCAGAAATGTTCAATTTCGGCCATTGTAAATTCACGAACTCGAATTAAACCGGATCGTGGTGAGATTTCATTACGGAATGAATTACCGATTTGGGCAGCAGCAAATGGTAATTTTCCTTGATTGAATTCAAGCAAACGCTTGAAATTGACGAAAATACCTTGCGCTGTTTCCGGTCGCAAAAAACCTTTATTATTACCAGTCGGACCGATTTGTGTTCCAAACATGAGATTAAATTCAATGGGATCGGTTAAATCATTTCCAGTTGATGGTGATTTCATATTGAATCGTCGCAAAATTGCACCCATTTCATCTTTTGTATTTCCATCTAATTTGATGATAATATCTTCACATTCGGCCTTCAATTCGTTGGTGGCACCTTTTTCACTGCACAATTTCTCCAAATTATTCTTGATCAGATGGTCCAAACGGAAACATTCACCACTTTTTGTATCTTTTACCATATAATCGGCAAATCGATCAACATGTCCGGATGCTTTTAAAACCGCTTCCGGCGTTAAAATTGAACAGTCAACTTCCAACATTTGCTCTTCCAATACGAAAAATTGGCGCCATGCATTCAACATATTCGATTTTAATGCACATCCCATCGGTCCAAAATCGTATTGACCTGTGATACCGCCATAGATGGCAAAACTTTGATCATAGAAGAAACGTTGTTTCAGCAAAACTTCCATTTTTGTACGATCAAATGAGGCAGCAGCCGGTGCCAATTCCAATTCTTTATCTTCCAGGAGTTTCTTTCGGGCTTTTAATTCGTTGACAGCTTTTTTAACATCGATTTCGGGTGCCTTATCCGCTTTCAATTGTCGCACCAAATCACCTTGTTCTTTGACCAAAAATCGCAACGGGGCAAGAATTTCTTCGTTTTTTGAGTCACTCATTTTGATAAATGTTCACGATTGATTGCAAAGATAAAACTCAATTTTCACTGTTGTTTTTGGAAAAAAAAATTATACTTTTAACAAGCACGTTTGATGATGAAATTTACAGAATATTTTGTTGAAATTGTTGCGGCCCATTCACGTCAGCACCAATTCACTCAATCGCACGATGTCTGTGTGACAAATGTATTACTCATACAACTACCATAGCTTATAAGCAATGTATATGCTTTTTGTGACAAACGACATAACCTCAATTTTCTTATATTTTCCAATTGAATTTCTTCGGTACGTTGCGAATGGAGTTTATGTTTGAATACCAATTTCAATTGTCGTGGTATTAAAAAAAATCTTTATGAAATATTTAGCAATTATGTAATGAAAATAAAAATTCATTTGGAAAATCCCCAATAAACTGTCTGAAAATTGAATATTTTGACAAGCCGAAATGTTTACTATAAAAATGATTGATGTTGACATTTGAGTTACTATCATACCAAGTCATAACCCAACATTCGGCTGTTTTTGACTTTGGTTTCTCTCAACTACATTTAAAATAGATTTTTTTTTTAAAAAAATGAGCATAGCTCAATCGATTAAACGATCAAAATTGTTTTACGTAACTACGCCAATTTTTTACGTGAATGCAGGTAAGAGCTAACTGGTTGTAAAATCTTCGTGAAATAATCCAATGATGAATATTATTACAGCTCCACACATTGGACACTTGTATTCGGCGTCATTAGCCGATTGTGTTTATCGTTATGAAAAACTTCGAAATCGATCGGATCGACTTTTATTCAGTACCGGCACAGATGAGCATGGTTCCAAAATCCAGCAGGCTGCCGCTGCACACAATCAAGAACCAAAACAATATTGTGACAAAATATCCGAGAGTTATAAAACTCTTTTTGAAAATTCCAGCATAAATTATACACATTTTAATCGAACTACCGATAAAGACCACCATTTTCCGGCCGTTCAACACTTTTGGGTTGGTTTCAATTATTTTATTTAATCATTGACGTTTTTTCCTCAAATCCTTTAATCAAACAGAACGAGCTCACCGCAAAAGATCATATTTACAAAGCAAATTATGCCGGTTGGTATTGTGTATCGGATGAATCATTTTTAACGGAGAGTCAATTGAAGGAAAATGAAAAGAAGGAAAAAGTATCGGCGGAATCGGGTCATCCAGTTAAATGGATCGAAGAAAGTAACTATATGTTTAAATTATCAAAGTTCCATGAAGATATCGAATATTGGATAAAAAGAAGGTTAGTTTGAACAATAAAAAAAACAATTCCCATCAAAATTAAATGATAATTGTACGATTTTTTCTTGTACAGCAATCCAATTCGACCAAAGAAATTCGAAAAAGTGCTAATGGAATATTTGAAAGAGCCGCTTAAAGATATTTCAATATCAAGGCCAAGTGATCGCGTTTCATGGGCAATTCCAGTGCCCGGTGATGACACACAAACCGTTTATGTATGGCTCGATGCGTTAGTAAATTACTTGACAAGCGCAGGCTATCCAGATCCAAAGGTAAAAGCCTTACATTCAATATCAACCGACAAATACTTATCGCTTCGAAAATAGTTTGCAGCAAATTGGCCACCACAATTGCAAGTAATTGGAAAAGACATTCTTAAGTTTCATGGAATCTACTGGCCGGCATTTTTAATTGCTGCAGGTAATTTATCAAAAGTAGACACCTTAAAATTGTTTTGTTTTTAAATAATTATTTTATTCGAATAAAAATTAGGTTTAGAGCCACCCGCTCGGCTTTTGGTTCATTCACACTGGACAGTCGACGATCAAAAGATGTCAAAGAGTAAGAATAATGTAGTCGATCCAAATAAGGTGACTGCAAAATATACTCACGATGGATTGCGATATTTTCTACTGCGTGAAGGTGTGCCGCACAGTGATGGCAGTGAGTATCTATTTTACCATTATTTGACAATAAATTGAAATAGTACTAACTCCTTCTCATTAGATTACAGCGCTACAAAAGTAACACGAATCATAAATGCTGAATTGGTGAATACATTGGGAAATCTGCTGTCGCGCGTGTGTGCCAAGAACTTAAACAAACGACAAGTTGTACCACAGTGTATTCGAAAAGAATTGCATAAATTTGATTCATCGCATAAATTGGTGAAAAAGTTAAAACAATTGCCGTCAATTTATGAAGAGCATTTTGAATCGTTTAATTTTTATTTGGCCGTCGATGAAATAATTGGAATACTCCATATGACAAATGCCTTATTGCAAGAAGTAGAAATTTGGAAAATGGTCAAAGATCCTACACAGGAAAAGAAATTTGATGCCATTTTGGGTCTTGTATTCGAAACATTGAGGATTACTGGCATTTTGTTACAACCAATTGTACCACATAAATCCAAAGAACTTTTAGACAGAATTAATGTTAGTGCCGACAAAAGATCCTGGGATGACACAAAATATCTACTTGATGGTGAGCACGAAGAACGACCACTTAGTAAAATTTCTCACAAACTTATCGAACGAATTAAATAAAACAAATTTAAACTTTAGAAAGAGAGAGATATATGTTTAAAAATAAATAAATAGAGCACTTTTAAACGAATTCAGACAATGGGACTTTTTATTGCACAAAACTGCTGTAATTTTTGGGGAAATATTCGAAATAGAATAAATTTACCCCTTTTTAGTACACAGATGTGTAGCAGTCGATAGAGTTGACATTGAAATATCCTTTATTTTCTGCTTGAATCTCTTTCGAAAAGGGGCAAATGACTGCTGTAAAATGAAGCAAAGAGACAAAACAAATGTTTGATTAATGTTGCATTCAAATTTTTATTTCTCATTCTTTTGAGAGAGCTGCTATAAATATACATATATTTCATTTACAAAAGAAAATTAATGAAAATCAAAAGTGAGTTTAGTATTTTTTAATTAAATGGCCATACTTGTACATGAAAGTTTTAAAATCTACAACTAACTCTATGAATTATATGCACTTTAATGAAACTTGTTCATGTTTTGATTTATGATATATACTTTTTTATAAATGGTAAATATAATGATCATATTTATACAATAGATTATTATTCCATCGGCTAGAATGGGAAATGAATAATATGCGGCTTCAAATTCAGTTTTTATGTTTGTAGTGTAAACTTGTTCTGATATAAAAGGTAACTGATTGGAATAATTTAAATGGTATTTATCGAATTTCAATTGAGTTTGATTTTACTTAGTCCTTCTTGATGGTAAGTACTCTCGGCTTGGCAATGGTTGTTCACCGAGTGCAGTGTTGATTGGCGTTGGTGTTCCCGCAGCTGGATAGCCTGTGGGTCCGCCGAATGGTGCTGGGCTGCTTGGAATTGTTGGAGTTATGACTGATGGCTGTTGATAATCCGGTTGACTTGGTGGAACAATTGGATATTGATCGGCACCACTTTGCGACGATGGAAAACTATGACTCGATGGAACATTATGAGAAGAAGTATGCGATTGTCCAAAACCTATTAAAGTGATTAAAATTAATGTTATTATGTCATATTAAATTCTCAAATGTCATGTATTGTTATGTAAATGGTATTTTTTTAACCTGATGAATGTGATGGTGCTGGTTGTCCGAAGCCGGTTGATGTTCCACTTGGGATGTGAGATGAATGTGATGCACCGAATCCTGGGGCAACAGATTGTGTCGAGCCGAACGATGGTGATGTAAATGATGGTACTGCCGCTGCCGAGGTTGGACCAAATCCACTCGGTAACGATGGTGATTGCACTCCAAAACCAGGCGCACCAGAAAGTGATGAACCGAATCCTGGCTGTGTTGCTCCAAAACTTGGCGATCCACCTAATTTTGTGTATTAAAAGATATATCAAATCGGAACATATAAATTACGGTTGTGAATAGTCTTAACCGTATAAATTGAAGAAACGGAATTAAATTAAAAAAAAAAAAAATCGAACCTTGTACAAAACCTGGACCTTGTGCTCCGTCAAATCCATTTCCAGCATCAGTATTTCCAAAGTTCCGTGATGGCCCTTGATTATCTTGTGATTGTCCGGTCTTTGAATAATCATAAATGTAAGCATTGTTTCCGTATAAGCTTTGTGCTGAATTGCAATCAAATTGATTCCACCACACGCAAACAAGGTGCTCTTGACTGAAAATGGTACCTTAATGACACCAAAACAAAATAAAACCAATCATTTTTTTTTTATCTTAATAAATGTCAAAAATGTTACCATTTGGACAGAGGAAATTGAATGTTGTATTCAATGCACAAATATGGAAAACTTGACATTGTGCTTCAATGTCGGCATAGTATCCAGGGAATTGTTGGTTTTTACAATCGAATGATGTTTTTGGAATTTCCATATAAATTGGATAATCAACACCGGGCGTTCCAGGGATAGCCGAGTAATCGCCGCCAGGATAAGAGCCATCGTTTTCACCTTGAACTGTGGAATTAAATCAAATTAACAGAGTAAGAATCAAATTGTTATTTGTAAATGATTTACATTGTGTACTGCCACCAGATTGACCAAAGTTATTTGCTTGTCCCCCAAATGATTGTTGACCTTGTACAAAACCGGGTGCTCCAAAGCCAGTACTACCGCTGTCTACCGATGAACCTTTTAATTTAAGGAAATATAGTACATTTTTAGTAAATCTTTAAAAAAACACGAAAAATTCATAAAAATCGTTTCATTGAACCTGGAAAACCTGATGGACTTTGGAATGAAGTGCCTGTAAGCCCACTGCCATGACTACCGATTGAGTGGCCACCACCTGAATGACCGCCTGAGTGTGGGAAACCACTAGACTCGAAACCTATTGTATTTTCAAAGGTGCATTTTAAAATAAAACCAAATATTTGAGGAAGCAATCATGAATGAATTCTCTTCACTGATTTCAATATTTTAACAGCGTAATATAGTGTCTAAACACCACTGCTTATTTTCTTTAAAAAAATTTAAACCTTTTGACGAGGGTGCAGATGTCGCTGGGAATTGGCCGGATTGTGAAGGAGCTCCAAAGCCACCGGAAGGAATGCCTGGAACGCTTGAAAGACCTGGAACACTTGACGAGGGTGCAGATGTCGCTGGGAATTGGCCGGATTGTGAAGGAGCTCCAAAACCACCGGAAGGAATGCCTGGAACGCTTGAAAGACCTGGAACACTTGAAAGACCTGGAACGCTTGAATGGCCTGGAACGCTTGAATGACTTGGAATGTTTGAATGGCTTGGAACTCCACTTGATGGTAAACTACTTGTAGTCGGCACAAATTGTGGTTGATTGAATCCTGGTGTCAACGTTGGTGTAACACCGAATGATGGTGGTCCTTGTGGGACTTTTTATAAAAAAAATTTATATTTCATTATGAATCACCGATATTTTAACAGAAAAAAAAATCATCAACGTTCTTGAATGATAAAAAAAATCATCTATCGCGAATACCTGCTGGTGTAAATGGCTGATTATTATAGCCAGGTTGAGATCCCGTGAATGGAGTTGGTTGTTGGGCATTTGGAATGCCGCCTAAATCGCTTGTCGCACCTGGTGTCAATTGATTGAATGGACTTGGGTAATTGTAGCCGGATTGAGATTGTGCCTTTATTGCCATAGAAATATTGAATTAAACACTTGCACTTTTCCTCAACAAAAATAATCATTTCTTTCACTTACAACAACCAATCTGCTGGCCACAGCAATAACAGCTGCAAAAAATACATTGATTGACATTATTTCGAGATGAAAAACTGAATTTTATTTTTAAAATTTTTTCCCTCAATATTTTCTATCATAAAAACACTCCGAAATAACACTACACAATACAATGTAAAATGCACACCACAAAATTTTCTCCAATAGCGGAAAAAAACGTCCGATGTCGAGTCGACGATAAAAAAATTTAAAAATTCATTGCAGTAATTTGATAAAACTTGAAAAAAAAACCTTACAAATGATTCACACTTGTTCACTTACCGATGAAAATTGAAACCACTTTCATATTGATGAATAAATATTTATTTTCTCACTTAATCTACAACCTAAACGGAATGAAAATCAAATCATAGAAAAATTTGTGTTAGTAATCCAACCAAGACAGTTCCATATGCTTTGAATCACTTAAAATTGACTTTATAATTTTATAATTTGTTCTGTCCTACAGCAAAAATTATAATAACACTTTGTATCTTTTCTATTTTGAAACTATGAATATTTAAAATCCGTGATTAAACGTCAGCCGAACAATTTGCAAGAAAAATGCGAAATTGTTTTTGGATTTGTTGGCACCAGCTTACCTCGCCGAATGACGAGTGCGTGTTTAGTACGAAGTCAGATAAAGGACTGATTTAGCCACAGCTCATCAATCGCTATTTATACGTGATGTGATGTTGTCTTGGGCCAAAGGAGCCTCCAATGACATCGTGCACTATTACAAAATATTTGATATTGTTTTGAAGCGTTAGTACAAGATTTTTTTTTGTTGCTTTGCAAAATCGTGGAGTTCACCCACTCTCTTATACTTTCAAAAGCCGAAGAAACGAATAGCACAAGCGGTGCGATCATCTCTCAAAACGTAACAGCGTCCCTCACACACAACCGCACTCCAAACGATGTTGTTACATGCACGTCAAATAGAGTGGCGCATATTTGGATGGATTGTTTGTTGATGCCAATAATTTTTGGAAGGGATTTCTCATTTTGGTGTGCGATCAATTTGCGGGATTTTATTTTCCTTTCTTTTTCGTATTCATTTGTTTGGTAGTGTTCACATCACGATTTGATGATAAGCGATTAAAATGTGTGTTGTCTTGCCTGAAATAAATAGTTCTGCCAAAGAACGCTCTCAAATATTTCCACATCGCATCATTTATTCGTACGAAACACTGAAAAATAAATTGCCCTGCACCACAGCAAAAAAATTTGAACCCATTCAACCAAACCAAACCAAAAAGCCACAAAAATTGAACGAGCGCACCAGCGCATACAGAGAATGATGTGTGCGAATGGAAAATTCGATTTGGAATGAACAAATTCGAGCTGATTAAAGCGAAAAACGGAAAATTAAATGATATTGAGCAACGATAGCAGCAGAAGAAGCGCATCACCAGCCAACAATATGGTTCGCATTTTGTTACGGCTGATTTTATTTGGTAATAAAATAGTTTAGCCCATTTCTAAATGAGAGTGTGCCGATGAAACATATTTTAATGCTTTAAATTACCATCAAATTGGCCAAAGATTGCAAGAATCTTTCATCAAACAAACAGTCGACCCGCCGACGTAACAGTAACACACGAGAAATAACAACAGCAACAACAATAACACATATACATATTGCAGTCCACGTAATACACGGTATTGAAATGAATAATGGCCACACTTACAAAATCCACATCATCAACACTTAGCATCGCGACCATCCGTCTGTCCGATCGACTAACAGTGAACCACCACGAAGCAATGCCATTCTTGTTGCTGCAAATCAAAGATCCAATGCAGATAAAGTATAGAAGAAAAAAGAAGACACAAAAACATACCAACAAAGCTGCGCTATTGTTTTCCACTTAAAATTTGCGTGATCGAGACAAGAGTGCACAATGTGAACATGAAAATTGAATGCTTTTTCTAAGCCACACATAATGACTGCATGGGCAAATGGTACGCATTGGTTTATGAATCATTTTTTCTTGTCTTGTTTTTTGAAATGTTGGTGCTTGTGTTCAAATTCAGCATTAAGATTCCCAATTGATCGTGGCATAATTCCCAACAAAACCCCATAAAGTCGACAAGTTAATTCATTATTTTTGTTGACGCTAATTGTTGACGCATCAATTATTAAAACATTTTCGGAGCACTCAATTCATTGCGCGCGATTTTTTTTTCGTACAATTTACGTGACTCCGATTTTCCTTTCAACCGAATTGTTACAACGCCACCATTGTGTGTGTGATACTTGAATTCTGTTTATCTGGATTAATATCATTTCGTCTTTTTTTCACTTCATCTTCTCAAATACAAATTGACCTTCTTTTTCTGGAATATAGTATGCATATCGTATTTTGATTCATTTATTATACTATTTTACTTCCAATAATAATAAAGCGATCGTGTTTACATGCGAATCGCACGGGAAAAAATGAACTCCAAGTACAAATTCTGTGCCAATCAATTCCAAATATATTATGCTCAGATGGTAAAACGGTCATTTTCATCGAAATAGAAATATGAATTTGAATAAATATTGAGGCATTTTGGGCCACAATGTTCTTCACTTTTGAATCGAATAGTATTCAGCGTAAACATATTGGCTCGAACTAAATTAAGAATTTGAACGCCATTCGGAGATAACCTTTAATACCTATAACATTTAGATTCACTTTCGAACGCAACGTCAAACAAAAGATCACAAATATATTGTTTGCTGCGCGCATACGTGTAGTGCGAGTATTGAACAGTATTTAAAAAAAGCATGTCGAGCTTGTTTAATGTGTTAAGTTGTATAACAGCTCAATTTCACACTTTAAAAAAATGCAAAACTGATTCGTAATTTGTGTGCCTGCACCTGTGATATTTTTTTTTCTACTCTCGAAACTCAATTTCAATTGTAACTTTGTAAACGGTGTGAGCCAGTACTGATTATAAGTATCAATTTTTATGTGAATTCTGTACAAACAAATAAAATGGACATAATTAAAATAATTGGAAAAAATACATGTAAATAACGATTCGCTTTCGATGTGATGCCGTTGCCGATTCGAATATATGAAATAAAAAAAACGTTTGAAATAAAAAAAACTTCTGACAGTTATTGGAACGATACCGATTTCAACGTTTTAAATGACTAAACGATATTTTGAGAGATGCTTGTGATTTCGCGCAGCAAATAAATTTCGATTTCGAGATGAAGGTTCGCAGATTCGATGTTCCATGCCTTAGAATGCCTGTAGAACCAATAATGGCAACATTCTAATAATACTACTAGGCAGGTAAAATTCAATATTTGCAATAATACACATCCAGTGCTCGTTAGCTTTTATCGATTTTCGCTGGCAAGTGGTTCCGTTTTTCAAGTTCATTTTCACAGTGCACGAGATCATTATCTTTGTTGAATTGGAAACCTAGAAAATAAGCAATGGCTCATGCAATTTCATTCTATCTTAACGTGCCCATCAATCTTTTCGTTCTTTGTTCTTGTGCAGTACTTTACAGTTAATTATATTCTTATTTATGTTCGTCAATAAAGAGTGAATCCATGTGCTTCATTTCACATGTGTGTTTGTTTTTTTCGTTTGTCAATGTATAAGTCTCTCTCTATCTCTCTCTTTCGCCATTTGCGAATGAAGATCAATAAATTTCCGTTCAGAATGAACTGAATGAAATAAATTGCTGTTGTTCAATCAGTTGGTGGAAATGGGTTGTCTACTATTTTGATTTTTCTTTTGTTTCTCATAGCATTTGAGTTCGTCTCCGATTTTTAATTCTTCTATCAATACACATGCATAAAGAAGATTTGTACAAATGATTCCAGAACGAATTCAATAAATTTTGTGACAAAACGACCGCACGATTTCAACGTTTCGATTGGATTTTCCATTGTTCTATCCAATTAGATTGTGTGCTATATCGACTTGCTGCAATTTTAATTCAATGTCATTGAAGAGGAGCAGCTTTCAGTCTTTCCCGTAACTTGAAAATAAACAAAAGAAGAAAAAATATTGGCGTTGCGACTTTGTTATTACGTTGATGTGCTCTGCACCATTTGCTAGCGTGCGCTCATTGATTGTCATTTTCGGCTCGAAGGGAAACGATTCACCTAATAGCTGTTCACCAGTTTTAACAACATACATTATATAACATTATAGAGTGATAATTTGTTAAAGGTGTACGAAATGCATGTACCTCATAATGTCGATCCGAGAATTGGTTAATAGGAAAAATGAAAAAAAAAAAAACACACACAATAATTTAACGTCCACACTCACAGATATCAATGTACACAAGTATATGAAAAATTCAATGATCGAACGTTTCGATTAAACTATACGGCTTGAGATGTTCACAGGTGCTATCTTTGTGTGCTGTGTAACATTGCCACGTTTTATGTTTTATCGTAAAAAAAGTATGCTGTGCATCCGTTGCGCTGAATGATATAATCATTCTTATATTCACTTCAGTTAAAGTGTTCATTTTTTCTGTTCAGATTTTTTCGTTTCGTTATATTACAAAGCTCGCAAAGAAAGAGTGAAAAAAACGTGGTAATTTGCGGCAATCGTCAATTAATTAATTAATGAGTAAATAAAATGGAATTGCAAGAGAGCCGAAGATAGACAATGGTGCCATATTTTGTCATCGACCGTGTCTCTCAGAAGACACACACACACACACACGCATACATTTTATTACAAATATGAATGGTGTTTTACTAAAAATGAATTTCAATGGATCACATTCAATTGAATATAAAATTCACCGAAGGTTGGCCTTTTATCAGGAACCATCTAAATTAATAATTTCATGTTATCCCATTAATTTCAATTTCGTTTCAATGATTATGTGTAATGTAAACGGTTTTTATTGGAACTGTGTTGGTATCCACACAAAATAAGTTTTACATACATAAAATATATGAATATAGAAAAAAAAATCTATCATAATTGTGATGACCTTACAATACACCTCACATTGTACTCTCTCATCATATGCTCTCGACGCAGCACAGGTTTATCGAACTTCATACGCATCGCGTAACTTTTTTGTTGCTGTTGCTGCTAATAAGAGCTATTATTATGCGTGTTACTGTTCATTTCGCCATTTTGTTTATTTACAATAATTTAATAGACTTACCCTTGGACTTTGCTGAGCCAAAAATATTAATCGTCAGCCATATAATAATACTCTTAAGTATGCCCGAAAAAAACAGAAGCCCAATTAAACCAAATAATTAAATGAGAATAAAATCTGAAGAGGAAATGGTTGACGTTCAAAATAGACGATAAGAGGCGATGAAGACATTTTTTTAGGCATATTAATTACAGATTTATTTACCTTCCGACTTCAATTAAAATATATTCAACAGAAAGAAAAAAAATGGTATAATAATA